AGGAGGAGGCAGGGGAGGGGCAGAGGGAAAAGGAGAAAGAGAATCTTAAGCAGGCTCCATGCCCAGCATGAGCCAAATGCCCAGCTCAGTCTCACAACCCTGACTGAGATCATGACCTGAACTGAAATCAAGAGTCAGATGCTTAACCAACTGAGCTACCCAGGCGCCCCTGGATTTTAATTTAAAATGAAACAGGAAGTCACTGGAAGATTTTAAGTGAGGAAAGGACAAGATCTTTAAAGATCACTCTGCGAGTTCTGTGGGAAATGGATTGTAGGGGATGGGCAAAAATGGAAGGAGGGAGATCATTTAGGAATCTGCTTGTAGTTCAAGAGGCAAAAAATGATAGTGACTTGGGAAAGATGTTTGCTTTTGTAAGGATTAATTGGAATAATGTAAAGAAAATGTTACATTCAGTATCTGACACAGAAGCACACAAAAAAATGATATAAGATAATATAAAACATATATTGGTCTCTGCCCCTGGTTCCTGGCACAGAACTCCTAAAACCCTGGTAAATTCCTAAGTGATAAGAGTACTAGGAGTGGGCAATCCTGTCAGGACCCCTCTCACTCTTGAGAGCTTTTTCTGTATCTTCACTTAGTAAACTTCTATCATTTTACTCAAAACAAAACAAAAAACCACACACACAAAAAAGACCAAACAAATACTAGGAACATCTTTTGTTCTCATGAGGCAACTCTGGGTGGGCGTTGGTCACCAGAAAGATCAAGCCATAAGCAGAAGCTTGAACTTTTCAGCCCTACCCCCCATTTTCCAGAGAGGGAAGAGAAGCTGTAAATGGACTGAAGAACTGATCACACCTATGTGACAAAGTTTCCATAAATATACCAAAAGTATGGGGTTCAGAGAACTTCCAGGCTGGTGAACACATTCACACCAGAGAGTGACACACCTCAACTCCATGGGCACAGAAGCTCCTATCCTTGACACTGTCCCAGACCTTGTCCTATGTATCTCTTCATCTGGTTGTTCATCTACATCCTTTATCGTAACCTTTAATAAACTGGTTAACTTAAGTATTTCCTTCACTTCTGTGAGCCACTCTAGCAAATTAATTGAATCCAAGGAGGGAGTCATGGGAACCTCTGATTTGTAGCCAAATCTGACAGAAGTTGTGGATAACCTGGGGACCTACTACTTAGAGTTGGCACCTGAAGTGGAGTGGGAGCAGTTTCATCAGACTGAGCCCTTAACCTGTGGGATCTGACACTATCTCCAGGCAGGGAGAGTTAGACTGAGTTAAATTATAGGACCCACAGCTGGTGTCATAGAGAATTGCCTGGTGGGGAAAAAGTCCCCACACATTCGACCGAAGTGTCAGAAGTCTTCTATATGAGTGGTAAAGGAGACACACAGGAGGAAAAGAAATGAGGTTTTCCCTACACAGGAAGACATATGGGTGGAAAACTGAGTTTTCCCAATACAAATGGTACCTATTATTAGTTTATGCCTATGGAAGAGTCTTCTTGTTTAACAGGATGTGAACATCAAAATCCTTGAGACAATAACTAGGGAAGTATACAATGACCACAATACTCAAAGTATGAGTAAAACTCTATTACTCATTTAACAAAATTCGTTGAGGATTTACTCTGCACAAATTACGAACAGATTTGCTAAGGCAGTACAAGAAAGTGGATTAATTGATCAATTAATCTGTAAGGGACTGAGAAGAGTTCAACCCCTTACGTTACAAACATTGAAATGGCAGCCCAAAGAAACTGCTATTCCTCCTAAACTGGAAGATGAGGATCATGCCCTAGTTTGCCCCACAGACATTGCATTAGGACATATAACAGCTAAAGATTTAAATTAATAACATAAACCAAAAGCTTTTAATGAAATAATATGTGGTCAGTACATTGATATACTATGCTAAGAAAAATGTAATATTTATATAAAGCCCTGATATAGTGCTTTGCACAGGGTAAATGCTCAATAAATGGCAGCTATCAGCTCCAGCTGTACAGTCCTTGGAAAGCTGAACGTGTGATGCTTACCTGACATCAATAACCAACTGCCTGAAGAATGAACAGAAAGAAATGAACAGACATTTCTCCAAAGAAGACATATAGATGGCCAACAGACACATGAAAAGATGCCTAACATCACTAATTATCAGGGAAATGCAATCAAAACCACAAAAAGATATCACCTTACATCTGTTAGAATGGTTAAAATAAACACAATATTTTGTGTTTGTGTTGGTGAAGATGTAGAGAAAAAAGGATCTTCACGCACTGTTAGGAATGCAAACTGGTGCATATGAATATGAATACAAAAACACTAATTTGAAAATAGGGGCACCTGGGTAGCACAGTCCGTTAAGCAATGGACTCCTGATTTCTGCTCAGGTCATGATCTCAGGGTCGTAAGACTAAGCCCCACACTGGGCTCGCTGCTTAAGATTCTCTCTCTCCGGAAGCCTGGGTGGCTCAGTCGGTTACGCATCTGCCTTCAGCTCAGGTCATGATCCCAGGGTCCTGGGATCAAGCCCCGAATTGGGCTCCTTGCTCAGCGGGGAGCCTGCTTCTCCCTCTACCTGCTGCTCCCCCCTGCACGCCATGTGTGTGTGTGCTCTGACAAAAAAAAAACAATCTTTGAGAAAAAAAAATTCTTTCTCCCTCCCCCACTGCCCCTCCCCTTCTCCTCTTTGCACATGCACTCTCTCTCTAGAAAAAAAAAGTATAAATGCATCCTTATTTTTATTGCATTATTTATTGCAGCATTATTTACAACAGCCAAGCAGCCCAAGTATTTTTTTTTTTTTTTGAAGACTTTATTTATTTATTTATTTATTTGAGAGAGTGACACAGCGAGAGAGGGAACACAAGCAGGGAGAGTGGGAGAGGGAGAAGCAGCTTCCCGCGGAGCAGGGAGCCTGATGCGGGGCTCGTTCCCAGGACCCTGGAATCATGACCTGAGCCAAAGGCAGACACGTAACGACTGAGCCACCCAGGCGCCCCCCAAGTATTCTTTAATAGATGAACAGGTAAAGAAGATGGAATACAGGGGCGCCTGGGTGGCTCAGTTGGTTAAGCGACTGCCTTCGGCTCAGGTCATGATCCTGGAGTCCCGGGATCGAGTCCCACATCAGGCTTCCTGCTCAGCAGGGAGTCTGCTTCTCCCTCTGACCCTCTTTCCTCTCGTGCTTTCTCTCTCTCATTCTCTCTCTCAAATAAATAAATAAAATCTTTAAAAAAATATTAAAAAAAAAAGAAGATGGAATACATATACAATGGAATATTATGGAGCCGTAAAAAAAATGCAATCTTGCCATTTTGCAACAAAATGGATGGATCTAGAGGATAAAATGCTAAGTGAAGTCAGAGAAAGACAAATACTGTATCACTTCACCCCATGTGGAATTTAAGAAACAAAACAAATGATTTAAGAAAAAAAGAGACTCTTAACTACAGAGAATAAACTGATGGTTACCAGAGGGGAGGTGGGTGGAGGGAATGGGTGAACAGGTGAAGGGGGTTAAGAGTACACTTATGATGATCGCTGAGTAATGTAGAGAATTACTGAATCAGTGTATTGTACACCTGCAACTAGTAACACTGTATGTTAACTATACTGGAATTTAAAAAAATAACCAATTGCTTAAGTTGATAGTAGAGTCACAGGAATTCTAATATAATTCAACACTGTGATTTTCCAGTTGAAAAAAGTGAGGTCTAAAAGGGCTAAATGACTTGCAAAGTCAGCCACAGTGAGTAGACACAGAGCCAAAGCCAAACCCTGAATCCCCAGTCTGGTTTCCATTACATGTCACAGATCTGCCATTTAGCTATATGGTTGTGGTCAAACTTTTATAAGAGGATAATAATAACATAGCTGCTATACCTGACTTTTTCAATCCTCTTATTTAAAATCATCATTGAGCTATGAATTTCACATGAGAATCATCAACAATCCAGATTGGCAATATATAGTCTTATGAGTAGACAAAACAAGTCTTGGTAATGCAACTGACAGCTGATGAATGGACAACTACCAGAGCAGCTGTTATATGCACCTGAAGCAGAGTGACTACAAGGAGAATACAAAGGAGAAAATGCTTTAAAACCGTTTTCCACCGCACTCTTAAAATGTGGCAACAGCTGTGGGTCACTAAGAAACTGAGATTCTCCTGGCGTTCAGCAACAACAGAATGGTTTTAAGCAAAGACTCATTAAGGAGCTTAATAAAAGCATTGGGAGAATAAGATTAAAAGCCACAATACCAGAAGAGTTCTAGCAAGCACTCCAAAAAAATTTTTCCTTTCACCAACAGTGGAAAGGCCAACCGTGGACTTTCAGGTCCTACCGACTATGAGATTAGGGTACCCTCCCTCTACTCCCATAAAAAACAACAAAACCCTCTGAACGGGAGGGAAGACAGGGCAGTGCATAGAGGGGAACCCAATCCATTTGTGGTGAATTAAACTCAACTCAACAAATATTTCCTGAAAACTCTACTGTGTTTAAGACACTGGGAATAAAAGATGGTCGCTCTGCCTCAAAAAAACCTCTAAATTATACGGGAGGAACGAGGAGAATGAGGCTCACGGAAGTACACAAATAACCCAAGGCCGGATAGAAGCGCTCTAAGGTTCCACTCAGGGCCATGGGTTCAAAGGCAAGAAAATTTCGAGACTCAGAAAGGTTTCATGGGAGAAGTAGCGCTCGAGATAATCACTGAAGAAAAGGCAGAGATAAGGGGATGAAGGGTAAGAGAGTAGGTGAGCGTTCGAACAACCAGGAGAGGCCAAATCCCGGTTTCCTTGCAACCGCCGCCTCCTCTCGCGCTCTATAGGCGTCCAGCGTGCCCTCTCCCGCGGGGCAGAGGCCTACCCTTCTCCTCCCCGGTTCTCCCCACCATTTCTCACCTCAGTAGCTTCCAAGTTCCCCCTCGGTCAACCCTGTCTGAGGACAGAAGACAATGCCGACAGGAGAGAGCCCCAAAGTTGGCGGGCGTGCTGTCAACTCACCAGTTTTTGAGGCGCCGGCCAGGCCGCATCCCCATGGTAACGCCACCAAGCGCGGGTTCGAACGCCCGCGCCGGCGCCCGGGCGCCGGCAGCCCCGCCTCATCCACCAATGGGCGCCGGGGGAGCTCGTTGGCGTTAGAGGCCTTCTTCTCGAGAAGACCAATCAGGGATCCGAGGAAGCAGTGGGCGTAACTCTCAAGCTGCGTCTTTCAACCAATCATACCGCATGAGTGAAGATCTCGCGACGTTCTAAGGGAAAGTACGGCATCTTTGAGGCGGGTGGAGGAGCCTTCTACCCTATCCTATTGGTCGCTCTAAGCGCAACCGAACCTTCCGGATTGGTCGTCGTACTCCCCCCCCCCCTTTCTGTTCAAGGCCTGCCTCTTGCCGCCCTGGGCCTTGGGTGAGTAGTCTTAGGAGCTTCTGGGTCAAGTTCTCCACGGAGAAACTGATCGTTGGAGGGATGGGAATCTGCAGCTGAATAATCTTCCGTCGCTGCTCCATCAAGGGTGGACACACCAGACTCTCAGTGAGGCGTGGGCAGGCCAGGCCCCGGCCGCTCGCGGGACCTCAGTTTTCCTCTATCCTCAGGGAGAGGGGAGGGTTTTATGGCTCTGAGCATTGCTGGCCCGCTTGCTGGTGGTGATGGGGTGGGACATCGGAATTCCGAGTTCCGGGTTTAGGGACCGGCGGCAGGAGTGCCCTTGGCCTCAGTTTCACTTTGTTGTTACCCTTTATACCCTGTCTGCTTTCCAGAAGAGATTTTGTATGTTCTAATGGCTTCATCTATTGAATAGATAATATCTTGGCAATTAGCAGTAGTAAAAAAAGAAAATCACACCAGAGTCCCACCATCTAAACCAGAACTTCCTTTTCCTTTGTTCTGGCCTGGTTTTGGGCCCTATGTATTTGTTACTGTATCTCTGAAAAAAAAGAAAGAAAATAAACAATGCAATCAAATAGCCAAATGTAAAACGCTAATACAGAGTCGAGGTTAAGAGCAATGATGTTGGGAGTCAGGCAGACCTGCTCTCCTTTTTCCTCTTCTGAAAAATTGCGGTAGAGACTCAGAGGGTTGTTGTGAAGATTAAGTGAAATAATGAAAGTAAAGCACTTGGCACAATGCCTGGCAAGCAGTAACCCCTCAAAAAATGGTACCTATTACCTTCATAATAGAAACAAACAAATATACTAGCTAACAAGGCCAGTAGACTTACTGCAAGTACCCAATTTAGCTCAAAACTTGTCAGAGAAATAATTAAGGAAACCATTTTTCGCAAAAGAGTGAAATTTCTTCCTAGTACTTATTGAAAGGAATTTATGTTGTGGTACTTTATGCATAAGGAATATAATGGTGTGGTGAACAGTGTGTTCACCAGAAGTTTTGCTGGAATTATGAAAAGCCACTCATTTCTTGATTCAGCTATCATTAGAAGCTAAGAGCTTGCCATTAAAACATAACAGAAGCTTCCTGATGACCTTTTATGATAACAGGGGTGAAAGTGACTCATATATATTCAGTACTTCTGATATGTCAGATCCTATATATGTGTTTTTTAAACTCTACAACAATCATGTAAAGTAGAAGTTACCCTCATTTTACAGATGAGGCTTACAGAAGTATTTTGCTTCAAGTAATACAACTGTTGAATTAGGGAGCTGGGTCTTTTTCACTGCAAAGCTAGCCATGCTTTTCCATGTTGTTTCTGTCTGAAGGAGGATAAAATGCTTTGAATACCAGAATACCAGATGCACAGGCAGACGTACCCAAGTGGAGGGAGGTGGCTTGCAGAGGTATCTATGGTGGGAGCAAAATCTTTCTCCAGTAGGAAATTTTCACCTTTGGAAATGAAGAGATGGAATGAGATGATCACTGAGCACAATTCCATCTGTTCATTTACCTTGTGGGTAGTCAACAGCACTTCAGATTCATCTTTTCCCAAACAAATCATTAGCTTACTTTCTGCTTCCTACTCCACCAACTTCTCTAGTCACCCAAACCAAACAACCTCTCCCTCCCTCTCTCTCTCTCTTCTCCCCTCTCCCCCACCCCTCTTCCTTGGACAACGAAACATTAAATACTGTTGGTTTTCTTTTTGAGATATCTCTCAAATTCATCCCTTCCTCTCCTTTCTCAGGGTCTCTGCCTTAATTTAACTCTATATCATTTGTCATCTGGACTGTTGTTGGCAAAAAGCTTGTGACTGGTTGATCTTCCTGCCTCCAATCTTCCAATCCATTCTCTACCTTCCTTGCTGCCAGAATTTGTTTTTGTAAAATGTCAATCTGACCATATTGGCAGCCCTGCCTAAAACCAGTCAAAGGCTCCTCCTCATTGCCTACAAACTGTTTATCAGTGGAATGTCATTTTGTGCTTGAGGGTCTTTACCCACACACCTCCCTTTGCCTGGAATGCCCCTTGCCTCCACCTTTATTCTGCCTGGTGAATTCCTAGCCGTCCTTCAGAATCCTTATGGGGTGTCCCTTTGACCTAAAGATAATCACTCTCCCTTCGTTGCTTCCTTTCCATCTTATACATACCCCTATGGTGCACAAAATAAACTGGCAACTTGTCTAAGTACCTTTCACTTTCATGAGGCTGTGAATACTTAGAAAGCTGCGGCTTTATAATATTCAGCTTCATATCCACTCTTCAGTCCTGTCACACTGCTTGTCAAATGGGACACACTCAACAGATGTTAGATGAGTAAGTAAATCCCTTCAGGCTCTAATATTAGAATTCCCCATGTTTGCTTTCTAGAATTGTACAGCAGATGGCACTAATAGGCCACTTAACAGATCCTCTTTACTAGGAATGATTTTTGTTCCAACCTTGTCTGACTTTGGCCTCATCCTAGAAGCCAATATTCATGCCATTACAGGTGAAATCTCCTGTTTCTGCCCTCAGCCAAATAGCAAAGACAGCAAGATGACTCAGCAGGTTGGTTTCTATGAGAAAAGAGAGCGGCAGATGTCCAGGAAAAGGTGCAATTGAGGGAACATTTTCTTTGTCTCAATTTATTCACAGTAGTTGGAAGCTTTTTCCTTTTCTTTCCTTTTCCTTTTTCTCTTTTTGTTGTTGTTTTTACAAGAAAGAGCTTTATTCACAGATGGGCACCTCATTTCTGTTCAATCCTTTGAAAGGGAAGAGGGGAGTTGGAGAATCAGAAAAGACCATTATGATGGGGGAAGAAAGGGAAAACTGAGCAGTCGGAGTTGCTTGTGGGCAGGCAGAGTTGGCCTTCGTCCTTACAATGGAGTGGCCTGGGCAACTTTCCTGGATACCAGCACCCTAAGTTAGTTGCTTGCGTGCTTGTCCAAGGCTAGCATTAAAGGTATTCCCAACACTTGGTTGTTGGGAACCCTCAGGCTACCTGATGAGGTTTTGAACATGTGATTTTAGGTTCCTGCTTCTCAGAGAGAAAGCAGAGGACGCATAGAAACTCTTATCAGATAGGCCAAGTTTCGGGGCCTCAGGCTACACTTTACCTCTCCAGGGTCAACTCTGGGCACCAGGACCTTCATCTACACACCCTCCCTCCTCCACCCCAACTAAAACCTGTCCTGTGGAAAGGATTCCAGCCAGGTACCTTAAAAATCCTCCATGAGAATATAGATCAAAGACTGGGAATTTGGGAACTGGAAATAATTGTATAAATTATTTGCATGTCCTCTCTCAGGACCATCTGTGCTCTAAGCTCTGCTCTTTCACGTTAAGCAGAGCTGTGGAAGGGGGTAAAAACACACACTTCGGAGTTAGGCTTACTTGGATTCAAATCTTGCCATTCACAGACCAGCTATGCTCTTGGGCTAGTATTTTAACCTTTTTGAATCTTAGTTTCCTTATCAAAAACTGGAGACAATCCTGCTTATGATGAAGATTTGTCTTGAACATTAAAAAATACACATGTAAAGAACCGTGCACAGTGTAGCTGGCACAGTGTCAAGGCTTAATTGATAACATAGTGGCATGAAAGAGTTTCTGCTAAAGGGATTTTAGATTATAAGGAACACGCTGAGAGGATTTGGGGAGCTCTTTCTGTATCTAAAGGTATATTTGTGAGGGCTTTTGGGGGTTGAGCTATGCTTGCAATTGCACACTGATTAATTTGATGAAAACATTGGAACACAACACATCAGTACAGCCATTTATCTGTGAATTATTTTTTGGCACCTAGGTCCTGAACCTCCTAAGCTGTAAGGGAAATGTATATATAGAGAAAGGCAAGAGCACTTTTCCTTAGCTTCTGGAACCTTCTGATGACATTGAGGAGTTTTTTGTTCAGGTTTTTTTTAACCACCTAAGGCACTTTGCCACTTTTCTGAAGTGTGAATTGCCTGCTGTCAGCCTGGAGTTCTCATCTCTGCAATCCTGGCTGCAAGCACATTTGCATATTGGATGCTGTGTCCTTTAACCCCCTGAGGTTTGAATCCACTTGGAGTCTCGTGTGTGTGTGTGTGTGTGTGTGTGTGTGTGTGTGTGTGTGTGTGTGTCTCTATAAGCTGGCCTCTTTCAAACCCCAGGACAGTTTCACTCCATGGTCTCCAGAAAAACAGAAAACCTACAACAATAGCTCCATTGACTTTTATGTAAATGGCACTCTTCAGGAAAACACTGGGCTATTTCCCAAAATCCCAGAACATACCCTGAGCATTTGTTTGAGTGGGTTGTGGGGAGAGTGTTCTGTTGAGTCAATGAACATCTGTTGAGAGCTGCTGTGCTGGGTTCCAAGGAGACAGAGTGCACAATCTGGATCTTCCCTGCCAAAGGTACAGCCTGAGACTTACCAGACTAGGTATTGTGCTTGTGGTGGCTTTGTACTGTGTCTACTTGGCTAAACTGGAACTGTGTTTCCCAGGATTCCCTTCCTATATGGTTCCAAGTTAGGGTCGACCTCAAGAAAATTGTGTGCACAATTTGGGAAGCTGAAGTGAAGTAGCAGCCAGCACACTGTGAAAGAGAGCAGGATACCAAGCATGTGGCAGTGCATACCTTTGAATGCTGATCTGCTGGTTCACCTTATTGGTGCCGGCTAAAGCACCCAGGCCTGCAGCTCCCCAACTCCTGCTGAATCTCCTCCTTCAGATACTCTGGGTGCTGGGCCAGATGAACATTTAGCTCTATGGCAAAGGGCTCCAGCTCCTCGAAGTTACCCACGTTAATGAGCTTGGAGATGGTGAAAGGAAGTCACAGGTTTCAGTTTGTCCTCAGGAGTTCTACTTGTCCTCATGGGATCTGGTTTGTCTTCACAAGTTCCAGTTTTCCTTGCTCTCCTCCACTTTGCATCCAGCTTCCCTTCCCAACTGTTGGCCTGGCTGACCTATAGAGACTTCAGCCTCAACCCCAGATGCAGAGGTGACAGAGTTGCATGGATTTCTCCATCGACTTCCATAATTGCACAAGATCTAATCCCTACACTAAATCCTTAATTTTCTCAGAGTGTTCTTCTCTGATCAAACCCTACAGAAGTTTATTCAAGCCGTGTTGAAGGCTCAGAAGATGAGATGATTGGAAGCCAGAGGCTTCGCAGAAGAGGTGACACTGAGCTGCTTCTGAAAGCATGAGTAGGAAGTAATGTGTATGGGGAAGGAGAGAAATTCTAGAGAACAGCTGGCTCAAGCCAAGCAACTGAAAAGGGTAGATCGGAGTTTTGCCTTTCTAGAACAACTGTCCTCTCCATGGGTCCATAGCATAGGGAGAAAGTGGACATCTGATCCTCTGTTCACCAGTTCTGTGGTGACAGGGTGCTTCTTTCTGGTTTCCAGAATGGGGAAAGTTCTTGGCATAAATAGGAAGACCAGGGAAATAGAATATAATGTTTTAAAAAGCCTGCTACTGGGGCATCTGGGTGGCTCAGTCATTTAAGCATTTGCCTTCTGCTCATGTCATGATCTTGGGATCCTGGGATGGAGCCCCATATGCGGCTCCTGCTCAATGGGGAGTCTTCTTCTCCCTCTGCCCCTCCCCTCCCCGCTCATGCTCTCTCTCTCTCAAATAAATAAATAAATAAGAAATAAGATCTAAAAAAAAAAAAAAGGAAAGAAACATTTAGAAAGATCAGTGTTGGGTGCATTTGGTTTTTTGGTAAACTATCTGTTGGCAGTCCTGAGGAATGAGTTTCATTTTGGGTCTGATTTTTGTGCCTTTGACAGATGCAGGCTCATCTTTTTTTTTAACATTTTATTTATTTATTTAATATTTTAATTTATTTATTTGACAGAGGGAGACACAGCAAAAGAAGGAACACAAGCAGGGGGAGTGGGAGAGGGAGAAGCAGGCTTCCTGCCGAGCAGGGAGCCTGATGTGAGGCTCGATCCCAGGACCCTGGGATCATGACCTGAGCCAAAGGCAGATGCTTAACGACTGAGCCACCCAGGCGCCCCTAACATTTTATTTATTTGAGTGAGAGAGAGAGAGCGAGCGTGCACAAGTGGGGGGAGGGTCAGAGAGAGAGGGAGAAGCAGACTCCCCGCTGAGCAGGGAGCCCGATGGCAGGGCTTCATCCTAGGACCCAGGACCATGACCTGAGCCGACTGAGCCGCCCAGGCGTCCGCAGGCTCATCTTGATGGAGTAACAGCATGGGGGCCATGGAGAACATTACCTCCAGCTCCAGCCATCCTCTCTGCATCAGCTCTGCTATCTGTGCACCAGAACCTTCTTTGGCCCTGGAATCTTGCAGATGAGGCCCTACTGACTTAGGTCTTTTCCTGCCTGGGCCAATGTCCTAGGCCTTTGCTGCATTTGAGACACCTAATTTTCTTTCAGTTCTGCCATCCTACCTCAGGGCCTTTGCCCATGCTGTCCCCTCCGCCTGCAACATACTTTCTCCCTCCTTCCCATTGCCAACTTACCTTTTACTCATCCTTACTTCTCTGCTCAAACATCCCTTTTTCCAGGAAGTCTTCCTTGATCCCTCAGACAAGGTCAGGTTACCTATCACACATTTTTCCTTTATAGCACATACCTTATCGGCAATTATTTTTTAAATTGCTTAATTATTTGATTAAATTCTGCCTCTTCCAGGGCATCTGGGTGGTGCAGCTGGTTAAGTGTCCGACTCTTGGTTTGGGCTTAGGTCATGATCTCAGGGTTGTGGGATCAAGCCCCAGGACGGGCTCTGAGCTCAGCATGGAATCTCCTTGAGATTCTTTCTCCCCTTCCTCCCCCCCAACCAAATCTTTAAAAAAAAAATCTGCCTCTCCCATTAAAATATAAACTGCATGAGAGCAAAGGCGTAGCATAGTACTTATTACATAGACAGTACTCAATAAATATTTGTTGACCAAACCAATGACACATTTTCTTTAGTGAGGCCTTACATAAGAGATCCTCCATATTTTTTTTTACCTTGATGATACGGCCCTCTTCAGATGATGAATTGTTTTTTCACTGCTGCAGATATTCCTACTCTTCTCCCTTTCTGTCTTTTGTTGTTGTGGACATTCTTTTCTGAAATGGAAAGAAAAGTAACTGAGGGGCACCTGGGTGGCTCAATCGGTTAAGCGTCTGCCTTCGGCTCAGGTCATGATCTCAGGGTCCTGGGATCGAGCCCTGCGTCGGGCTCCCTGCTCACAGGGAGCTTGCTTCTCCTTCTCCTTCCTGCTTGTGCTCTCTCTCTCAAAAAAAAAAATCTTAAAATAAAAGTAAAAAATTTTAGTCTTTACTGAATTGATGATTATAAAATTAGTAAATGTTCTCTGTGAACTTCCAAACAATGCAGAAATATAGGGACTAGAAAATGAAAGTCTTGCCATAATCTCGTCCTCCAGAAAACACTATTAATGATGTGTATCCTTCCAGACATTTTCCTATGCATATTGAAACCAACCGAGTGCTCATTACATGCCAGGTACTGTTCTAAAGTGCTTTACAAAAGTTGCATGTGATCTCACAGCAACCCTTTGAGGTAGAACTGTTACTATCCTGTTTCACAGCAGAGGAAACTGAGGCTTAGGAGCTAAGCACACAGTGAATAAGTGGCAAAGTCAGAACTTGCCCCCAGGCTGCAGAGTCATACTCTTGACCCACTATGCCAGTGTGCTTCTCATTGGGTGGGAAAGAGACTTTCTACTGTGTGTGCCTTTCTGTACTTTGAATTTTGCACCATGTGAATGTATAACATTCTAAAACATGGATAAAAGACTGAAAATATCAATAACAAATGTTTTTAGGACACCAAGCTACCTTTCCTAAGTGACCCCTCAGGCCATCAGAAACCCCATCGTTGGAGTCTCTGCCCCGCAGACTCAGGCTGGAGGCTGAGGGAAATGGGACCATGGGTTTGATGATGATGTTCCTCATCTCTCCCATTCCCAGCATCTCTCCAGGTTCAGTGGGTTTGCCTCCGAGGACCTCCAGTCTCAACACACTCACACCAGCCCTGTGTCTTAGCAGGGAGACCTTGGAGGAGTTGGGATAGAGCTGCACAGACAGGGTAGGGGCCAGGGTCCTACCATCATTCACAAATCAGTCTCTGATTCCTCATTTCCCCCCACTGGTCCTTGGAATGCTGCCTTTTTCTGTAGTTGATGAGGTCACTATTAGCTGATCTGTGCTACTCCCCAGCACCAGATGCTGCCCCCAGGATGGATCCTCCTGTTTTGTGTAACTTCCCAATGTCTCCCATCTTCTTAAGTCCTCAAATAGACCATGGCCCTGAGAGCATGTGGCTTGATCATCTTCCGAAGATGCCTCATTCCCACGGTGGACAAACCTGCAATTGAGTTTCTACTGCTGCAGGCATCAGACGGCATTCATCACTGGACTCCTCCCAAAGGTGCAAAGCAGAGGGGCTGGCTCTCGAGAAAGTGCCAAGCGTTGCTTAGAAAGCTACCCTATCAGGCACCCCATAAAGCTTACGTCCCATTGACTGTGGGTGGGCAGGAGCCCTTGATCCTTCCTGACATACATGGTCTCCGTGCCAGGCTGGAGCTGGAAATAGAACTCTGTGGTTGAATCCCAGGGCAGAAGGGTGTGTGTGTGTGTATGTGTGTGTGTGTGTGTGTGTCAGTCATTCACTGGAGCACCAGCCTCTGTGGTAAATGGAGAAAAGGCACTGAGCTGGGAATTGGGGACCTTGGGGTCTAGTCATTACTGGGTTACAGGTCAGGAGCCCTGTATGAGCAGCCCCCAGACAGAATGGAGCAGAGACTTTAAAGGGGAGTCCCGTGGGAGAGGGGTGAACAAGGATCCAGGGTTGGAGGAAAATAAGGAAAGCGGAACAGGAAATAAACTTTGCACATTTGCGTTTCACTAAGGAGAAATAAGGTGAAAGAAAGGGACAGAAGTGTCACAAATACTATGAATAGGAATATTCACACTTTTCTCCTGATTGCCAAAGTCATTGCATAGTACCTCTCACTGAAAGATTTCAAAGGACCTCTCCAAATTTTGTCCTGCTTGGGCCTGGGGAGAGGTTATCCTGTTAACGCTGATGGGTAGATGGAGCATAGATGCCGTTGGGAAGGGCACGTTCAGCGATTCCCCACACTTCTGAGTGCGGATGGGGCATGAGGATCAGCTCACCTCTCTCACCACCAGCACCCCTCTCTCCCTGCCCCCCCCCATGCAGTACCTACCTGGCTTTGTGTACACGGCTACATGAGGTGCTGTACAGAGAAAATTCTCCAGAAGCCATGAGCTAGGTTGGGTTTTTAAGTCCTGACTGTGGGAGCTGTGCAGCAACCTCTCTGACTCCGGGCACTGCTGTGAGAACCCCTGGGAAGGAGGAGAGCTAGCATATAGCCCTGTGTCGGAACCAAGAAGGGAACAGCTAACAATTCCTACTCCCCAGGAGCTGCTGAACCAGGAGGCCCCCAGCAACTCGCTGGAGCCATGTGTTGACAGAGGCTGCCAGACCCCTCCCTGTCCTTGGCCCCTCCAGGCAGGCTGAGAATTTGCAGGGAAGGCCTGGAGGCAAAACTGAGGGCTGTTCCCAGTCTGCAGAGCTTCAGGCTCTCCTACAACAGTTTCTTGGCAGCTGTCTCCTTGGGTTTGGGTCTTGCCAACAAATTTTCTTAGAACTGGCTCTCAGCTTGTCCCTAGTCTAAGTTTCCATCAGGAATTTCCCTGTGAAACTGGAATCTGGCCTTGCTCAGTTAGAAAGATGAAAACAATGTGGAAAAGCCTTGATAGCTACTTGGAAACAGCTGCTGGGGCTGCAGTGCAGGGCTTGGAGCCTGTTGGCCCTGGGACTTCAGGGACCAACTAAGACAGTGTTAAGTCCTCACTGTAGATTGGAGGCAAAGCGCTCCCTCCTCAGCTGCTCCTGTCTGCCAAGAAGGGACTGCCCTCATTCAGAAGATCGATTTAAGGTCTCCAAGGGAAAGGGCTCCCTGAGAACATGGGATGAGGAGGGCTCCAAAGGATAAGAAAGCAGAGGTCTGAGGGAGGCCATCTCTCTCACCACTGAAGAGCCGTCTTCTAGACCAGACTTGCCAAACACATGGTCTGTTTAACTCTCTGCAGAGAAGATGGGGTCGGGAGGAGGAATTGCCCAGACGCTCCCGGCTCTGCTCCCCATTCCTAGGCATAGTTAGGATATTGCCAATCTCTAGGCCCCCTTGAGCCTAGCAACATCTAGAAAAGCCACCAAAGACCCCCATCTTTAAATCATCAGACCTGAAAATTCCACCTTTGCTGAAGATGCTCTCTTGCTCCCTTTCCTTTTTTTTTTCCTAACCAGGCCATGTGGAACCAGGAGAAAATGACTTGGAAACGGCCTTCCGGGAGACTCAGGAGGAAGCCGGCATAGCAGCCGGCCAGCTGACCATCATTGAGGGATTCAGAATGGAGCTCAATTATGTGGCCAGGAAGAAGCCTAAAACAGTCATCTACTGGCTGGCCGAGGTGAAGGACTACAACGTGGAGATCCGCCTCTCCCAAGAGCACCAGGCCTACCGCTGGCTGGGGCTGGACGAGGCCTGCCAGTTGGCTCAGTTCAAGGAGATGCAGGCCGTGCTCCAAGAAGGACACCAGTTTCTCTGCTCCTCAGCATCTTGAGCTGACCAGAGCAGAGTCATTTACCTCAGTGGGATCCTTGAGGGCCTTCTGAGATGAACAGTGTCAGCCTCGGGGAAGGTTGTGTGGGTCTTTGGCTCATCGTACCAAAGAGCAGATCAGTTAGTAAAATCAGCTGAGGACTCTCAGAGGAGAGCAAACAAACGTCTCAGCTGGGTGAAAAGGAAGGCAAAGGAGGAGTTAAGAAAAAAGTCTAGGTGCAGTAAGTGCGTCCTTGTATTTTATAAATAAACTTCAGGCAGCTTATCTGTCCATCTAACCTGTTGTCTTTATTTCTTGGGGACTCTTGCCCTCGGTGGGGAGAAAGCTAAAGTGAAATGGAGCTCTGACCTTAGCCAGAGGGAATCTTGTGTGCACGCACTATGCCCCAGAGAAGCTGAGGGAGGAGTTGGAGAGGAGAGAGCAGACACTGCCAGGGTGGTTCTCCTGCCTCGGGAACTGCGAACACTCTGACCCCAGCCCGCCAGTGTACCTGAGACTGTGACCTGTAGGCGGACAGGATATACAAGCCAGTGGGGCCAGAGCGCAGGAATTAGGTGTGTTCTACTCACTGATGCACCCTTTCCCTGGCACCAGGCACATATGTCGTGGGTGCTCAGTTGATACTCCCTAAAATGGAGACCCAAGGAATTTGTGACATATCCCAGGTCCCAAGAGGGAGACAAGGGACAGACAACTCTGGACCACCAGGCCTGTGACACATGGACCCCATGAGTCACCATGAACCTGGTCAGCATGGCTGAGGTCACTGGCAAGAGGCATGCCCAGGCCTGGGGGACTCTGCTAGGCTATCCAGCAGCCCCGTCACTCCACCTGTGCCCTCCTTGCCTGCAGCTGCCTTCTGCACCTTTAGCAAGCTCTCATCGACATTTCTCTCTTCCTACCTACTTCCTTTCTTTCCAATTCAACTGTAAGACCCAGAGGCGCGGGAGTTGGGTTTCAGCCCTGTTCTCCCTTGCTACTAGGGCTCAAGGAATGCGGGGCAGGTGTTAGATCCTCCAGCCCTTCCAGAAGCTGTTAGCAGATGGATTCATGTGGATTTTATTAGAGGGTTGTTGCCCAGTGAAGTGCAGAAGGTTGGATGCGAAGGGGCATTGGCAAAGGTCAACTTGGATTACCAAGGTTGAGAACAGCCACCCCTGAAGGAAAGAGAGAGAAGTCACCCAAGTCTTTAGCAGGCTTCCAGATGTTTTCAGTCACTGGTTCTCCGTGCAGACAGGGCAAAAATACTAGTGAACAGGATCTTGGAGCACCGCCAAGGACCTGAATGGTTTTGTTCCTCACCCCTCTGAGCAGTGCTCTCTGAAGGAGGCCTGCTGCAGGAAGTTTTTGGAGCTTAATGTTCTCTTTCCAGGCCAGCAGGGACCACATCCCACTGATTTAATAAATGCTGGCTGGGCAGTGGTGCCAAACCACAGACTAGCTGCCTCCTAACAAGGGCTGGCCAGCCCCGTGCTCTCAGCATGGGAGGCTGTTGAAGCTCAAAATGCTAAAACCTTATACGTCAGAGTTGGAAGGGACCTGGAAAATGACCTAATTTTGCTGCTCATTTTTATAGCTGGGGAAATTCAGGCTTAAGAAGGTAGATGGTGGGGCAGTTCGGTGGCTCAGTCTTTTAAGTGTCTGCCTTCAGCTCAGGTCATGATCCCAGGGTCTTGGGTTGGAGCCTCTCATCGGGCTCCCTGCTCAGCAGGTAGCCTGCTTCCTCCCCTCCCCCGCACTGTGCTCTCTGGCTCTATATCTCTCTGTCAAATAAATAAATAAAATCTTAAAAAAAAAAAAAAAGGTAGATGGCCCTGGCAGTTGCCTATATGTGGGGGGCTTTGAGGATGAAGTTCCCAAGGGAAGACTCTGCTTTAGAATACCACGTACGGCTTTTTGAGTCATTCCTCTGGGCCTTACAGAGTTTTCCATTAAAACACAGGTACTCGGGGCGCCTGGGTGGCTCAGTTGTTAAGCGTCTGCCTTCGGCTCAGGTCATGATCCCAGGGTCCTGGGATTGAGCCCCACATCGGGCTCCCTGCTCGGCGGGAAGCCTGCTTCTCCCTCTCCCACTCTCCCTGCTTGTGTCTCTCTCTCGCTGTGTCTCTCTCTGACAAATAAGTAAAATCTTTAAAAAAAACCAAAAACAAAACACAGGTACTTTGGCGAGGGGACCCCCCATAAATTGTATTCATCTACTCTCTGCAGGAAGAATTCTTGGCAGGGTGGGACCAGGGCATGTTACGGGAGGTGGATGAGGTGGGAGAGAGTGAACCTGAGACGGACGTGACAGGTGAGTAGCCTTTGTCATCATCACCACTTTGCTTCTGGCCAGCTCGTCCAGAAATGTGGAACTGAGACCGCAATTTCCCCTTTAATCCGGGGCCCTCCAAGCTCCGGAGCGTGTCCTCCCGGAAGCCTTCCCTAATAACTACCCATCCTATAAATACTGTCCTGTTTCCCCACCTACACCTAAAGAGGCTCCTCTTGAAACTCCACCTGTTTCCCCCAGTGCCACCTTCACCACCCCAGGGTGAAGAAGCATTTACCAGACTTATCCCCACCAGGGTGGGCTCTGGAAAGCTAAAATGCCCTCTTGACCCTCGGACACAACACCTTACATGCCCACAGTATGCACTTCTTTGCTGAATTGAAGACCCAAAGGAATGAAGTTATAATGGTAGCTTCGATGGTAGAGTTTCAATTGAAATACTTGTGCGGGTATGAGACCTGCACAAGTGGGGCCCCCATGTTTGGGGAGCAGAAGCTTACATCTCCATTGGTCCAGATTGTTGGCCCAACCTGTCCCTTCTTTTCTAGAGGAGGGCTGTGCCGGCCCCGCTGCTGCCCCCTAGAGGCTGTGCTATAGGTGCGCGGCGAAATCCGCTGTGCCTTTCTCCACCCCTACTCCCTTCCCTCCCCTCCCC